GTCGCTTCGCGGCCTGAATCTTCTGCACGTTTGTTGGCAACGGTGCAGCGTCTCACGAAACCATTAGGTGTCTAAGAACGAAACCTCTTCCAGTCCGATTTCGCAGTTTTGTAGGCCGGACGGTTAGTCCCGCCTGACAAATCCTTTCCATCCCTTCTGGAGGGTGTTGAGATGCTCAGTCCTCCAGCTTAGTCATCGGAAACAGGTATTGCTTCCGATGAGTATGTCGTCGCAGTGAAACGACACTCCCGACACATAACCCACAGGAGTCGCATCAACCGGGTAAACACCGCGGGGGCTTTTTTAAGGCCGAACGGCATTAACCGAAACTGGTACAGCCCGCTCGGCGTAGAAAACGCAGTAAGTGGGCGCGAGGCATGGGCTCGGAGTCCACTACAAGTGAATCGTTCAGCCGACGGCAATCGATGCACATTCGATGCGTCCCATCAGTCTTTTTCACGACAAGAACAGGTGAGTTGTACAGCGAGTTCGTACGTTCAATCATCGTTATTTTTAACACGTCATGAACTTCCTGTTTGATGACGCCTCGTACTGCAAATGCTATGCTTCGTTCGCACCGGTAGATCGGTAGAGGTCGTTCGACCACATCCGAGGAGATCGGTCCTTCCTGGAAGGTTCGAGAAGATGCTGTGGTACCCCTCCACTACCGCGTAGGCGTCCGGCTTTTGTTGAGCGCTAAGGCCTGTCCCCGACACAACGTCTTTCGAGCTATCGCTTGCTTTCATTCGCAGCAAACGGATATTCCGTTCACATTCCTCTTCTTCGAAAGTTACTGGGTTGGAGGCTTTGGCCGCGCTCCCACTGTGTGTCGCTCCTAGTACTTTTTCAGCAGGTTGCCGTGAAACAACTTTGTCGAGTGCCCCAGGTCTACCCCATAGTTCAATTCGCCTCTTTTTGGGGTGGTCGAAGACTACTGCATAATTCTATTGCATAAGCAATCCTAATGTGGTCCGTGGGGAGCAAGATAAGTACGCGGACCCCCATAACATGAACTCGGCTGCGGGCCTTCCGATCGAAGCCCCGACGGTAGCGGTCGCTGGCGTGTTTCAAGTTTTCATGCGCGATCTTGCAGGTTTCTTACAACTTGTTGTGGAGCTCGAAAACGAACGCGTAAGTCGTCTCAATTGGTTTCTCCGTCAAGCGACGCATAGGTCTAGAACTCGTTTAACACAGAGAGTGTTACCCGCACATTTCGTTCATAAAGAAGTTCGAACAGAGAAAAGCCCGGGCTTGTCTGAGCCACCTCTCGAAGGCGAACAGCAGTGGCGGAAAAGAGCAACCCCAGTTTGTCGTTTTTTTTTTTTTGTTTTTTTTAACACATACGCTTTAACATGGTTTTCAGCGGTCCATTGAACTTCTCGACGAGGCTATTTTCCATTGGGTGGTAGGGGGTGGTGAATAGCTGCGTCATGGACAGCAGCCGTGGCACTTCGCTCATGACGTCCGAAGTGAAAATGGAGCCGGAATCGCTCAGTACTTCTCGGGGAACTCCCGTTCTGGCGGACATCTCCATAAGTCTGTCCGCTACCCGTTCATTCAAAATCTCAGGTAAGGCCACGGCGTCTGGGTACCGCGTAGCGTAATCAACCATCGCCAGTATGTATTTCTTTCCCTTCCTGGTGGTCGGCGCCAGCGGCCCCACGATGTCAACGGCTACGCGTTGAAACGGCGTCCCGATGAGTGGCACACTTCCCAGCGGCATCTTCGCGACTTTCCCTTTTGGTGTTTTTTCGTTGGCTAGCGGTAGCAGGATTTGACAAAACGCGTCGCGTCCGCTTCGATGCCTGGCCAGGAAAATTATTCTTGGACACAATCCATCGTTTCCTGGGTGCCTTGGTGTCCGTGTCTCCGAACCTCCTCGGCGCGACCAGCTGGTGGTGTTCATTTGCTGTATTTGTTGTGTAAATCCAATATTGAATACCCTCCTTCATAACGAACTAGCAAGAATTTCTCTTCTTCTTGACAGCCATTTCCTTGCCCTCGTTTTGGAAACGACTCCGGACGCTCTCGTCCTGATGTTGTTCTGCCCTCACAGCTTAGGAGGAACGGTTTCACTCTGGATCTCCGGGACCTTTAGTGGCTTAGATCCAGCCGTCTAGCTGCCCTTCTTTTAAAGCCCGGTTTCCACGGCGGCACTAAGTTTATACTCGACTTCCTTTTTTGTGTCGTCTTCGGTGGTGATCCTGTCATCAGCTGCTTCAACATCCCACTTGAAATTAGGCTCTCCCGCTGCCAGAGTCCATGCGAATGTTTGCCAGAATTATGTCGTATAATGAGCTCTCCATGCACAGTGCCGTTACCTCGGTGCTGAAGAATGGAGCGTGCATCCACAACTTGGCTTCCGGGAGTACCTTGACAGTGCCATCGACCAGGTAAACCGCTTTAGACGTTCCCGCGAGGTCCTTATCTCCGATAAGGCTCCTGCGAACGACAACGGGTTTGCACCCGGTGTCGCGGAGGATCGTGACGACTCGCGTTCCTACTTTTCCAGTTCGTACTGGTACTCCATCTGTCAAGTGCTTCGCATCGGCCTCAATGGTCGAATTTACGATGGGGAGTCACTCCCCATTTTTCAGTTTCTCGTACCCGTTCTGGACAAGCCTGTCGTTCATCTGGGCGTTCTCAACAGCCACGCAGCAGAAAGCTTGAGAACGCCCATAGGGTCCTCCTTGGGAACCTTCCTGGCAGGAATTTGCGGTGTGGCCCGTCCGACCGCATTTCCAGCAGGCGGGAAACTTCGGGCCTTTCTCTCGGCAGTCAGCAGCCCGGTGTTTCACGCGGTTGTAGAGAAAGCATCTCAAGGGCGGCCGTCCTTCTCCCGCAGGTTCCTTGTCGACATGTAGTGAGACATCAGAGTTCGGTCTCTTCGCCTTGAAACCAAGAGACTGGGCATTTTGTTCTTCCAAGAACCGGACGGCCAAACCGGCCATGTCCTACAGAGCCTTAGATCCTCTCTCCTTGATGAAGATGGCGAGCTCCGGCGAGCACCTCCTAATGAATTGCAAGGTGAGCACTAGGTTCTGGACAGTGTCGCACTCCTTGACCGTCCCGGCAAGTTTGACCAAACGGTCGAATAGGCTCGCCAGGCGTGGTGCAAACTGTGCTCCCGCTTCCCTGTATTTTGGTTTGGCGTTCCAAAACAATTCGTGGAATCCCTCTGCAGTCAGACGGAACCGTCTCATTAATGCGTTCTCCAGGGCTTCGTAGTCAGCGGACTCCTCCGGTGTGACTCAAGAAATTACCGAAAACGCCTCGCCCATCGAGCACAAGGCGAGGATTGTAGCCCATTGGTAGCGAGGCCAGAGTTGTCCCAGGGCTAAACGCTTGAACCGAAGGAGATAGGCGCATAAGTAGTCCTCCTTCTCAACAGAGGCCGCCATCCAGCGTTGAGGGCTCGTAAGAAAGGCGCCGTGAAAGGCCAGAGCCCCGCTTGTATGACTCGCATTTTCTTCCTTAAGCCGAATCTTCAACTCTATCATTTCTTTTGGTTTGACTTACCGCTCGTCCTCCCAATTCATCTCATCTCTCTCCAAGTTCCGCGATTCCACCCCCTCGTAGCCCAGCTCTCTCCCAAGCGCGGTTAATTCTGCTCGCAACATGGTAGTAACAATAAATCTCACATTCAAAGCAAGAAACAAACGATTACTCAAATCGCCCGCCCTCGTTCTCCCTCGCGGCCCTCCTCCGCAGTGCGGTCGTCTTCCAAAGCTTACACCAGCCACCGGTCCTGTCGCGGACGCCTGTTTGTGAGAGTGGGGGTCAAATTAATAAAATAAAGCAATGATCCACTATGAGTGTAAACAAACAAAATACGTGAAAAGTAAAAAAAAAAGTACTAAGTTCGATTGGTGACTAGGGCTAGATCCACGCCCGGTGTAAAGTCGGTAAAAAGAGACGACGACACGTGCAGGATGAACAAACAAAGGATTAGATTTAAAAAACTAAAAAAGTTAGCCGCGCACGGCTATAGATCACCCAACACAAACCACACTACAGCTATACGCTACGGAGACTGCGAGCCTTTAGCTATTACTAAATGGCTCGACGCTTATAAAACAACACCGAGCCAACAAAACAATCACGAAAACCTGATACTAACTAACAAACAGAACAAACGGAGATTGAACACCAACGCTACCCCTACACACACGGGAAAAGCCCCAAAAAAGTCGCGACTGAAAGTAGCACGGCGTATAAATCGTCGCTACGTTCAACACTTCCTACTTCACAGCCAGAGGATGAAGTAGCGAAACCAAACAGAACGAGGCTTAGCTTTTCGGTAGGTGTCTAGTCCAGAGCATTTAGCAGCTTGGAGTTGTCGGTCGAAGAACGACGTCTCGGAGTCTGGTGATCCGGTCAGAAGCTCGATGAGCTGGACACCGCGCACCCCGCAGCCACTTACGCTTCAGCACAACAATCTCAAACACTGGCCAGACAGGCAGGGCCGAAGCCGAAAATGAGTAGTTCTGATACAGGCCTGCAATGGAGGAACCGCGTGGAGAAGCAACCCGGCCAGCTCCGGGGCTCGACTACCTCCTTTGTTCCCCAATCCCCTTTTATAGCCTCTTCTACCAACCAATATGCTGACCCCGTCGTTCGGGTCAGCCACATTTCCAGATAAAACAGAGCACCCGGTATCCATTCAACTGGCAAAACCTATTATATTTTTCCGACAACCAAACAATCGTATACATCCATTCGCGGTACGAGTCCGAAAAAAAAACAAAAAAAACATCAATTATCTTCGATACACATAAAACGAAAACCACGACAGACGGCAAACTGAGTAAAGCAGGCGCCTCCAAAAAGCACGCTAGCCAGCGGAAACATATGTTTCCAGTACGTCATCTGTTTTTTTTTTCTTTTTTTTTTGTTCTTTTCTGTTCATATAAGTACGAGCAGACGGTACAAAAGTGCTGAAGTTGTTTTCTGTAGGTGAGTGTCAGGGTTGGTTTTCGTTCAATATTTCAGTTTCTCCTATGGATGCCAGGAAGGTGCACCCAGTCGAATACGCCATTCTTGGTCTTTTAATTGGACTTAACTTCGGTGTAGGCCTGTACTTCTCCTTCGTGAAGACTGGCCCCAGAAAGACAACGTATGAGGTGTTCTTCGCAAGTCGAACCATCCACATATTTCCGCTGGCAGTGTCCATGTTGGCGTCCGTCATGTCAGGAAGTGGAGTGATCGGATTTGTCGCCCACTACTACGCCTATGGCCTGCACAACGTGTGGACTGAGTTGACCCTGATCATCATTCTTCCCATAATTGTCTGCGTTTTCATTCCTGTTGTCTACAATCTGAGGGTCACCTCTGTTTTTCAGGTATGACTGTCCGCTAAGATTGCTCTGCATTGCGTTTTTGTGATCTGGTGAAGGGGCTTTACTATAATATTATAGAATACTATAATGCAAAATTAATACTATAATAATAAATAACACTATATTAATATTATATTACTATATTGCTATAATACTATAATAACTATAACAAGCTCAACTCAAGCCCGTTAATCAGAAGGGACTTTTTTTTTCATTCCTTTGCGCGGAATATGGCCGCAACCCATTTCGAAAGTCGCATTGCGTGATTCTCTAATCAACAGTAAGGGTAAGCGACACGGGTCTTGTACCTTTAAAGTTTATTTTTATAATCATTTATCCGTTTTTTAATTACCGGTCTTATCTCCTTAAGCATGAATAATAAATGTGTGTACTAAAATGTCGATTTTCTGAGGAGAAATATAATCTTAAAGCTGTTAAGCACTTCTCAATTGGTAGATCTCTTCTACTGGAAACATACTCGGAGCAAAGGCGGTAGGCGGCGTAATAGGTTTCATATTGTTTAAGATAAGCACCTTCTTAAATGCGTTCTAGTTCCAGCTGTAGTGACCGACAACGAAGCGCAAAAAGGGTGTGCATTGCGAGCCTATGTTATTACCACTCCATGGGCAATGCGAATCCGACATTATACAATAAGAAAGCCATATGAAGAATTACGAAGCTAGAAGCGTAAATATAATAGGGCATGCCATGCAGTTCCTGAGCTGCCAGCAATTATAGCTGTTTTTTTGGGAAGGAAGGCGAGGGGGGAGGGGGGAAAGGGTAGGGGGAGGGGGCACCACGAGCGGAAAGGATTGCGAGTGGACTTTTCTTTTTATTTCCGGGGGCTGCACGAAGAATAATGAAAGTACAAAGTGAAACAATACCCAATAATTCTAAAAAAAAAAAATAAAAAAATCGGGGATAGGGATGCTTGCAACATACCTATCCCCGATTCGTCAGCCGTGGACCGTATGCGTTTCCACCGGGGTACCAGAAAGATGGCGTGTATACTAGCATTGCGCTAGGCTAAGGCACGCTGGGCGAGCGTGAAATGAAACTAACAAATATTTACTCATCTCCGTATTTAATGTCCGCGGTCGGGGACATTTCTACGGCCAAGTAGTGGCTGTCAAAAAAGCGTTGACAATAGAAAATGTTCAATATGAACCGAGTCCGCACGTACACGAAATCGGCGAAATCGTATACATTAGAGACAAACAAAAGCTTCTCTAATAGACGGGCCAAAAAAAAAATAAAGGAACAGAACAGTGTCTTTTGTGTTTGAAACCAGCTTATTCCAGTCATAAGCTGCCAAAAGAAATAATGTTTAAAATCTTCATTTCTATATCGGAACTGACGAAGCAATTTATCCGGTCTTTGCATTCTGTCACTACGTTTGTGAAGTGTTACACATCCGTTAAACATCAAACCAGACTTATCATTAAAAAAAAAAAATGGTGCGGAAATGTTAAATTTTTCGCTTTTCTACAACTTAATTTTGCGATGTACAAGGTTGCTAATTAAAGAGTGTGGTTCCATTTGAATTGGACCGAAATTGTCGAAAAGCGGAAGATTTTCCACACTTTTTTTTTTAAATTGCATGTAGTTGTTATATTTACGATAAACAAACGCATTTCTTTGAAAAATTACAACAAAACGGTAAAAACAAATTAAACCTGAAGTGCCAGAAGGTGAAATGCAAAGCTCAAGCGGCAAAATCTCAAGTGGCTGACATATTTTTACACTGCGGAAAATGCTAGACCATTTCTACGAATAAAATATTAATTGTTCGGCCTCTAGTTATTTCCGTATAAAATAGCGAACTTGCTAGGTCGAGCCATTTTGTCTCCAATTTGGATTTGGACCGTTGAAGATAATGGCAGAAAACAAGTGTCAGTACAGAGCTATAATACTAAGGTATATGGTGATATTTTTACTTGATAGCCCGTAAGTTCTAGAAATACTGTATATAAGCGTTGGGTGTAGTAGTTCGTTGTATTTTGGGGACAACATGTTAAAGAAATTCAATGTTAGCCGTGCCACTCAATCCTTGCTTCTACTACACTGGCTTCAAGGCAATGCTGGTGGCGACTTCAATAACAGTATATATTTTGGGGATATATTAATACGATTTATTTGATGTTATATATAAGGCTGGGCAATTGATCGATTACCCTTAAGATTAATCGATTAGGGATTTAATCGCAATCAAAATTGTGCGCCGGTTTTTTAATGGGAATAAAAAGGGGTCAATTAAATGCACGCACGGCTCTATCTTAGACGACGTGACCGAACTAGGGGAAACTCATAGTGCCCCCACCCCCTCAAAAGAAAAACGCTGCGTAGCGTGCATCCGGTCGTTCTCTCCCTAGCGGTTTTCCGTTCCCAGCCAGATGCTATGGACAAGGTTATATTCTCGAGCTCGCGAAACGTGACGTGTTTGAGGATATACATTACTGTTCTGCGAGGCCAGACAAACAGCCGGGGCCGCAATTGATCCCCGCGCGAACGCGAAGTGTCACGTGTTGAGGATCTATTACACAGCCTGCCCAGGCAAAACAAACAAGCAGGCAAACAAGCTGGGAAGCTAACAACACCATCGTTACTTGTTCCAGTATTCGGCCCGTAAACATGGACAAGTTCACGAGTATGAAAGGCAACCTCGCCGGAAAGTTTGGGTTTGAAGTAAACTCCAGCGGGTGAAGTCTTCAACTCGAAAAAAGTCCACTGCGAAATCTACAAAAAGGCGTTTTCGTACAGTGGAAGCGTAAGATCGCTTCAGTATCAGGAGCGAAGTACCCAAGTATGCCGCTGCAGCAAAGTTAATCCGCAAAAACGCGGACAAAAATTTACGCCCTCCCACGAGGCTCCTTTCTCTAAAAAAAGAAGAAAGCATCGACCAAGCCCCTACTTCTTGGCTTGTCTCTGCAAGCCGGCCACTGAACATTGCTGAAGTCCCAGAACTGAAGAATGTGCTTCAGAGAGTCTTAAGCTCTCCGTCCTACCAGCCGGCTTGGAGGTAATCCGTTACAAGTAACGGGATTACTTGTAATTAATTAATGTTCTACTCATTTACTGATTAATCCGTGACTTTTTTTTTAATATGTAACTTGTAGCGTAATTTCATTACTTTTTAGTAACGCACGTGTTACTGAAATTGCTCGTAACAATTTTTCAGTCCCGTAAAAGGGAGAAATAGAGCGGAAGAGGTGCGATGCAACGGCCTTCGCGCTTTTAGCATAGTAACACAAGACTCTCGTGAGTTGCTAGCGTGGGAAAGGAATGGAATTCACGGAAAGCACAAGAGCTCAGCCAGAACCCATTTCGGTACTCGTTCGTACTGTCAGCCAAGCTGAGCGGATTGGACTGTCTACATAAAGGCAACAAGCCTCGAATTCTCGGAAAACAAAGGGAGTGCTTCGAGCGCACAAAAAAGCAGAAAACTAATGGCCCATAAAGCCGTCACGTGGGGTTCGTAAGGCCTAAGTCCATGGACACTGGACCGTGATGCATACGTCGGCTCCCACCACCCTCACCCCTCCTCCTTTCTCGCCCACCCCTGTGCATTTTGTCCCCCCAAAACCAATTCGCGTTTTTTTATTATTTTTTATTTGTTTTTGTCACTCGAAATTGTTATTTGCCTGTCGATGTTTTTGCCTACACACGCCCACCCAGCAAACACGAAAAAAAGCTCTAATGAGTCCTTGTCCCCGCTCATCCTTGACAGCGCTGTTAAAACTACGTACCGGCTGGACCAACCTGTTATGTGGCGTCTTTCACTTGACGTCGCGCTAGCGGATGCGTAGGGCAAAAATATAAGGGGTGCGACGGCAGCGGTTCATTGGAAGAAAAAAAAATCTACCATCAACCTTGCTGTTAGTGTAAACTGTAACTTTTGACAGCAGGCAATAAGCTGGTCGGGGACCAAACCAAAACCACTGGGGACATTCAAGCTGAACCCCTTAAATCTACTTAGAAACGAGAATGCTCGTGTTGTCGTCAGAGGATTTTGTCTGCGGGGACTTAGACCGAAATTTAAGGGAAGGAAACGTAACCCGAGGTTTCTGAGAATAAACGGTGGCTGGCAATTAGTTCAGCTGAGAGATTGTTCATTGATATTTCGTGTGGTGTTGTGGTTCTGATAACTTAGGGGATCAAGAAAGATCAAGTGGGCCATTCCAACGAATAACAAAACAACTTTCATCAAGCGGAAGTCTTTAAAATGTACCCAGACGCAAGTACCGCATTTTGGTCTAACAGCCAGTCCATTTTAGTAGGTAAACCAGCCCCTGTTTAGGCAACAAGCCTCTGTTGCCTAAATCTCTGTGACAATTTTTTTCTGTGTTGCCGATATAGGCAACACAAAAAAAAACTATATCTTCAAGGGAATCCTGTTTTGAGGCTCGCCGATGCCAAACTCAGATTAATTCGAATGGTGTGCGTGCCTCCACCACCCAAGTGCATTCGTCGCAATTTCATGGGATTTAGTTCCATCCCGATTGGACAGCGCAAGGCTCGTCTCTCTTGAGCACCCGTTTAAATCCTTTAAATTTTTATAGATTCGTTCTCCTAAATTTATTAACCTAAATAATGCGTAGATAGTACTGAATGTGTTTTATTTTTGTTTTACTTTGATGGGGTCCAAAAGTTGTCCCTCTTAAACACGCAGTGTATAGTGTGCCTTTTTCGTGTATGTTTGGAGTAACGCAACAATAATCGAGTAAAGTAACGCAGTAATTTGTCGCTTACTTTTTACAGGAAATAATTTTACTTTTGAGGCCAAGTAATTGTAGCTGTAATTAATTATATTTTTAAAGTAACGGGCGCAAGTCTGCCTAGCAGCTGCCTTCGCGTCGCGCAGTGAGTACTAGTGTGGACAGCCTGTAAAACACCGAAGAGAGTGTCTTCCAGCAGAACTTTCGGCAACCAGCTTCATCAGCTGAACGGCTGACTCCTGGACCTCAGTTGCCACTGATCCCTACCTTGGCGTAACGGGGCATTGG